TGCTGGCTTGCCATCTGTTCCAAAATCAAGCAACCTACAGAAGACAGTGATTTGTACCTGCAGAAGTTGTGTTCTGCAATTCCATGGGTCTCAGCGTCTTCCATAAACATATTGTAATTCTCCTGCAAGAGGAGGTAGGAATTCCAGTAAAGGCATGGATTCTGGTTGACTGTCCTACTCACTTTGCCTCGGTAAGAGTAGCCATCACCAACATAACAGTCGTCCGGACCTCGGAGAGAGCAGGCCACCTATGAGAACTGTCAGTCACGGACATATTTCCCTCAATAAGCGTTGGGGGGGGGATACCAAATGGGTCACAAGACTGGGCCTGACTATGCGTTGTCTCTAGGTTTTATCACAAAGCTCCAGAATGCCCCACATTCAGCCTGAATTAGAAAATATGAAATCCCCTAGTTGAGGAGGTGATTGTTTACACAATGATGGGGAGGTGCAGAGGGGCCCTGGTGAGGTCTGGGTGGAGGGTTGATTTGCCTGCATCACACCCCGACCATCACCTCCTTGGCAGAGAACTGAGCAAGCTCTGCTCCGAGGCTGGTAGAGTGAGGAGTTGCAGAGCTTGGGAAACTCGGACCATGTTCTTATGAGACACTGGAACAGAAAAGGCCTCCAGCAGTCTCTCTTGTCCCAGACTCTTTGATGACGTGGTAGTGAAGATCAGTACCTATTTCACAGAATCTCCCCCTGTAGTGATCTGGACAGGCACAGCTAAACCTGGACCTCCGTCTGTGTCGGGAGCAGACACCACCATTCTGGCAGGGATTTGGTTTGCACGCCGGAAGCACTGTGAAGACAGGAAATGGGGCCCGGAGGGCATGTTAGGAGGAGATATAGCACCCCATAATGGTGGCACTCTTCTGGGGTCATCCTCTTCTAAATGATGGGACGGGACACCAAAGGGCATAGACAGATCATTGGCATGATAGCAAAAGTCACAGAGACCTGAAGGACATAGGACAGCACGGATAAGCCATGTGAATGGAGGTCTTGCAAAGGAGAAAGACAAAAACAAAACCCAACCCCTACCCCCCGTAAATAAAAAGGTCAGGAACAGCCAGAGGTGTAGACTGATCTGGAAGTTTTCAAATAGTCTGAGCTAGGTGGAAACTCATCTGTGGACCTGAGAGCTGCATGACCATGGACAAGTTAATGTTTCTGAATTGCAGCTTCTTTCATCTATGATTTTCTTCCTTGCATAGAGAGGAGTAAATCTCTTGAGATGGCATCCTTCTCACAGCTGAGAGTCAGTGAGTGACTCCCCCACGTGACCCACCTAAGGAACAGATCAGTGCCCACTTCCTGGGGGAATCAACTTCCAAGGTGTGTGTGTGTGTGTGTGTGTGTGTGTGTGTGTGTGTGTGTGTGTGTGTGTGTGTGTGTAATACAGATGATACTAGTGAATTCTCCTTGAGTTCTCCAAGGAAGTTTACATTTTTTTTTAAAAAAAATCATAATTAAGAGGGCTTTCTTGAGCACCACAAAAATCTTGGGATCCGCTTGCTTACAGTAAGGTGCAGACACTGTGGTCCAATGAGAAATGGGGGAGAGAGGTGTCCACCCCATCACACTGACCCTACGTGCCCTGAGCCCTTCCTACCATTCCATTTGAGGATCATATTTCTCTGGTGTGGTTAGTCTAAAAGCAAATGTCCCAGTTTGGGCCATGGACGCTGTGGGCAATGCAAAGAAAACATTATGTGTAGACGAGCTCTGTCACCCACCTTTGGAGCAGTTTGGCCCTGTGTAGGGGTATTTGCAGGCACAGCGGTAGTAGGGAGGCTTCTGGGTAATGAGGCATTCACCCTGGACACACGGGTTATCCTTGCACTTGTTTTGGGCTACATGAGATACGCAGAGAAGTAGAGAATGAGGGTGGGGTATTATTTGGTGCATATTTGACTTAGAGGGGCACATGTTTAACCGCAGCTTTGGAGGTGGCTTTGTCCACAGTCCTGAAATGCCAGGCTGTTCCAGGACAAAACTTCTCTCTTAACCTAAACAAGGTTTCTTCTTGTGTCTTTATTCTCAGTGACGTACAGCTCTACAAGAGTTCTAAATGCAGACACCAGGAGGGTAGTGGATGGAAAAGCCAGGGCAGGGACCAAGGCACTTGGCCTCTGTGATTTCTGCTCATATCCTAACTTGTGTGGTCAAGGGCAGGTCTGTACCTTCTGTCCATCCCTCTCACACTGGCTCTATGTGCCCTGAGCCCTTCCTACCATTCCATTTGAGGATCATATTTCTCTGTTGTGGTTAGTCTAAAAGCGAATGTCCCAGTTTGGGCCATATTTGGGTTAGATGCTGTGTCTCCCCTCTTTCTTTCTCTGTAGAATGGACCCACGAGTCCATGTCACAGTGTGGCAGCAGGATTGGCCACACAGATGCCCCAGGATCACCCAGTGCCTTCCCATCACCTTTAGACAAAGGCCAGAGGGCTTCACATTTAACTCATAGGGAACAGAAAGAAATGGGTTCACCGTTCTGACACCGACTCCCCGAGAAGGGGGCTGGGCAGTTACAATGGAAGGTATCCCCTCTGATGATGCAGTTGCCGCCATGTTCACAGGGGTTGGACTGGCATGGATCTAAGACACAAAGGCAGAAGTCAAGGTCAGACAGACTGGAATCCACAGAGAAACCCCACTTCTCACCTAATGTCGGCCTCCTGCCCCAAACGAAAGATTAACAATAGGGCTGTTGCTTGGACAAAGGGAAAAACATGTGTCATCCTTCAAGATCAAGGGCGACTCCAGTCACACACCCGGGGAGAGGAATGCAGGTGAGTAAGAGGGGAGGCAGGCAGACACAATTGTGACTGTCCCTCAGCCCTGCTCTGGACCAGGCCTTCTCATTGAGAAAGTTCCCTTCCTCTCGGGAGTGTTTTTCCCCTCCCACCCCGCTGGGGGCACATTGGGGTCTGTCTCTGATGCTGACGGCATTTCACAAGCCTGAAGACCTCCCCTTCTTACAGTGCCCAGGGGTGGAGGTCATGCAGAAGTGTGCAAAGCTAACCCACCCCTCATGAAACACAGGCTTTCTGAACATCAGGAGAGCAGAGCAAAGGCAAGAGGGTGACAGAGAATTGACAGCACAGAGGAAGTGACCCAGTGGCCTTCATCTTTCTTCAACTCCTTGTTCAGTTAGATTTTGTCATATTTCATCTGTGCCTTTGGCTTTTTCATGGTTGTCTGAATGGATCTTCCCTTGGGGAATTCTTTGTCCTTCGCTCACACTCATTGTTCTTTGGTTCAGGAAGTAGGATCCTGGGGCCTGGCTCCTGTTTTGATGGTCTCTTCTGATGTTCTCCTGGTGCCCTGTATCTTGGCCCTGCCTTCCAGGCCACTTTGCAGTAACACTGCTTTTATGCCAGCTGCTAAGTGCTTCCCATCCCGTCTCTTGGCTCAGTCACATGGCTTTGCCTGGACCCCACTTCTTATTTTCCTCTTTGTCCTATTGGTCAGTCTAAAGAGCCATAAACCAAAACCAAGCATGTGAATGCATACACACACACACACAATCATACTAACATATATACATACACACAGACATTCACATATATACTCACACAAAACAAACACATACAACTACACTCACATGCATACAAACACCCACACAGCAATTCACATGCACATATAACCACACTCACATACACACACACACACACACACAACCACACTCACATATACACATACAATCACATTCAAATATATATACACACATATATGCACACAACCACAATCACATATATTGTATATATACACATATGCACACAATCATACACACAACCACACTCAACTATACATTCACACATACATAGAGACCATACAAATACATATACATAATCATTTATACACACACACTGACAACTATGAAAAGATTCTGAATAAACGGCTGGGCATGGTAGCAAATACTTATAATCCCAGCACCCAAGAGGCAGAAACAGGCAGAACCCTGGGGCTCATTGGTCAGTGACATAGTGGGGCTCATTGGTCAGCTGACATAGCGGGGCTCATGGGTCAGTGACATAGTGGGGCTCATTGGTCAGCTGACATAGCGGGGCTCATGGGTCAGTGACATAGTGGGGCTCATTGGTCAGCTGACATAGCGGGCTCACGGGTCAGTGACATAGCGGGGCTCACTAGTTGGCCAGCATAGTTCAATCAGGGTAGGTTCAGACCAGTGAGAAGCCCTGATTTAAAAACCGAGGTGAATGGCTCCAGAGAGAGAATATCGGGAGTTGCACACATGTAGATGCACATTTACACATAGACACCCCAGCATACAGAAGACATAGGCATGCACGCACGAACGCATGCATGCATACAACCACAGAGATTAGAACTAGCAAAGAGAGAAAGGAAAAGGGCGAAGATAGAAAAAGCAAAGGACTCCTCCAAGCGTACTGTGGATGCTGCAGTCTAAATGCTGAAAGATAATTCAGGTTCTTCTGCATACTTAGGACTTAGCTTGAGCTCAAAGACGCAGAACTGACTTTGGACTTGACTTCTCACAGTGTCGGGAGAGCCAGATGATGAGGCCTTGCCGTGTGACCCAGGTCGAGTCTGTTCCTCTCTCGGCCTTCCTTACTTCACTTGTGACTCAGCACCTTCCCTGTCCTGCGTGTAGGATGCAACAGGAGGAAACCCAGCCTATAAAGCTCTTTAATGCCTATTTTACCATGTAGGCCAAGAGAAGGGAAGGGAAAGCCCTTGCATATGGTCACACATAAATTCTTTCAGTCATGGTCATTCCCTCCAATTGGCACCCACCATCATCTTCATAGTACCAAGCAGGGTTCTCAGGGGAGGTCGGCATGACACTGTGGACTTCATCTTGGCTGGAATAGTCATAGCTGTAATAGTCATCCGGCGTCCAATCTGCAGGGCAGGGAAGGACAGAAGACAGCCTAGTCAATAGGTCTGAGGAAGTCAGTCTTTGGTTTAGGTGACACCTCTTCCCAGAAAACTCAATATCCTTCAGGAGGAATTACATATCTTTTCAGCTCTCCCCAGTGATGCAGGAAGACAGGAAGGTTAGGCTTGGGAGTGTTTAATTTGGGGTGGGGTGGGGGGAGAGTTAAGGTCCAGCAACTGGTCCAGTGTTGGTATTTGACATGGCAATACCTGACTAGAAATACAGAAGGAAACAAAGTCCCAATTTTCCACCAACTGTTCCACTGGGTACACCAATTGCATTCTCTATGCCTTGGTTTTCTCAGCTCCGAACACAGCAGGAAGCATCCTATGGCCCTCATGTCTTCACAATTCTACATAGGATCTACCAGGGCCAGAGTGCATGGCGCTGTCCTGGTGCCTCCCTGGTAGCTTTGTGGATAGTATTTCTCCATGAGGCTTCATTAGTCGCCTTAGTTTAGTAAAGTCCAAGACTCTTGCCACTTTCCTCTTGGTCAAACATCTCTCAGTTGCATCTACAGAGCATTTAACAGCTGACCTTTCCTGAGCCTTCACAAAGCTAAACACTTGCAGCTACACTCTCTTTTAATCCTCATAAAAATCTGGGAAGTTGGTCTAGAGTGCTTGCCTCTAGACTTGATCTAAACCCTAGACTTTATCTCAGCTCTGTGTGAAATGGTGGTACACACCTGTAATCCCAAATGTCTTACTTTCTTTCAATGTGCTATGAAAGAAAAACAAAAAACAAACAAAAAATCCCAAACTCAGCAAAGTCAGCATAATGAAAGGGGTCTTATTCTGGCTCATGGTTCAGGGTACTGTCCACCATGGTGGGGAAGTCTTGGCGGTGGAAGCCTGAAGCACTGGTCTTGTTGGATCCACAGTCAGAACAGAGGGATGAATGAATGCTAGCGCTTGGCTGGCTTTCTCCGTCTTAGACAGTCTAGGTCTAACACCAGCAAATGGTGTCAGTGTCCTCAATGAACCCTGTCAACATCCTCCCTCACATGCATGCCTAGGCAGAAAGCAGGTGTGCCTCACAGGTGTGCCTCACAGGTGTGCCTCACAGGTGTGCCTCACAGGTGTGCCTCACAGGTGTGCCCGGGGCTTTGTCACCTAGGTAAGTTCAGAAGTTGTCCTGTTGACAATAAACAGCATCACACCAGAATCCAGGAGGTAAAGGCAAAGGATCAAAGGTTCAAGCTGCCATTGTCTGTAGAGAGAGTTGGAGGCCAGGCTGGGGCATATGGGACCCTGTCTCAAAAAAAAAAATCTTGGAAGTATATGTTGGCTGTGCTTTAAATTGTGAAAACTGAGGCCCAGAGAGGAAAAACAACATGCTCAAGGCCTCCTAGATAATTCACATCTAGATTTAAACTAAATTTTGTCTCTATACAACCACCATGGCTTTCTGGTTCAATGACAGTGCTCAGTTGCTTTAATTGGGTCCTTCCATTGCTTTGCTCACTCTCTCTCTCTCTCTCTCTCTCTCTCTCTCTCTCTCTCTCTCTCTCACACACACACACACACACACACACACTTATTTAAACAACCATCCCCACTGAACGTCCATCCTGCTACTTAACAGCCACCCAGGTACCACCCTCAGACTGTTCTGGGACCTTGGTTACCAAGGAAACAATGTGATGATGCCCACAAATGGAAAGTTTGGTTAGACAGACAAACAGGTGTGTACATATCTGAAGTCAAGCTCTTGATTGTGTTGAGTCTTGGAAGGTGCTGATGACTCTGTGGCTGGTGGAGACAAGTTTGGAATTGGGAGAAACTTGAGTTCATTTTGCCCTTTCCTGCTGATGAGAGGATGGCAAGTTGGCAGTGGAGGCTGTGAGGAAGCTTTCCAGAGAGACGCATGATAACCAGGCAGAAGCAAATGCAGATGCCTGACTTGAAAGGCAACCCAGCAGAGGCAGTGATGGTGTGGAGGACCGCTCTCTACTCAAGCCTGATTACCAAGCACACAGCCTCAGGATCTCCCCCTCACTCTGTTATAGTCTTTATAGCTGGGACTTCTAATAATTTGACTTTTGCACAATGGCTGTTTTATATTTCCCATTAAAAATGGAATTATCTTTTATTTCTTTTTTTTGAATACACCAACTCTAGTTCCTTGGCAAAGTTTCATCTCATTTATCGCAGTGTCAAGTTGAGACTCTCTTTGCTTGCTCATTATTTTTCCCTGGCTGCTTTCCCCAGGATGAACACGCTCCCAGAGGAAGCCACTTCTCCAGAGACGAGCATCTAGGCTAAAGATAAGACCACAGTCTTCCTGAAGCAATGAAGTTTCCTTCCATAAATACGACAAAGCAAAGAAAGGGGGAGAAAAGGGAGGGGGAAATGTTTTTCCGAGTTGGCCATGGAAGATTTCAAACTGACATTTGAAGGAGACAGAGAGTTGATTGCAATGTTGATTTAGCTGTTTTTACTGGAGGACTTACTTTGGTTTTTCTTACACATATAAGAAAGATCCTTATAAATAAGGGTCTTTCAGGGTTTCAGTCTTTCCTATACCCTTCTCAATAGTCCCCTGGATGGGAGGTCACACTGACTAATCTTGACTGTGTTGTTGAGGGTCCCCTTCCACACCCCTGCTTTGTGGTTAGGGAGATGGCTCAGTTGGTAGAGTGCTTTCTGCCCAAGCTTGAGACCTGAGTTCAGATCTCTACTACCTATGTGCTCAAGAACATGCAGACAGGAGCCTATGATCTTAGTGCTGGGGCATGGGGTGGAGTGGAGACGGGAGATTCCTGGAGCTCACTAGTCAGCTACTCTTGCTGAATTGGCGAGGCTTAGGTCCAATGAGATCCTATTTCAAAAACTAACAAAAACATGGAGTGTGATAGAGGAAAATGCCCACCGTTAACCCCAGTCATCTACATGTATGTACACACGCAAACACAAATGAATAAATGTGTGTGTACCTGTACACACAAGTGCATCCACACACACACAATCACATAAAACACCCAAATCTGTGCATGTGCACTTTGCACCCATACACACTTGGGCATGCACACACAAACATATAAACACACACTGCCCACACATATAGAAATCAAGGAACACAAACCTGTACACATTCACCTACCAATCACACACATATAAAAAAAAAAAAAAACCCCACCTGAAATAGAGGAGACGCTTACACATGTGGGATACTGTGGCATTTTTAGGGGCTGGGCAAAATGCCTGTTGTGGGATTTGTACTTGAGCCCAGTCCTGTGTGCAAGGTCTGCACATTTCCCAGTGAGCTGGAGAGAAATGGAAACACAGCAGCCCTGGATCAAACCCTCCAGAGTAAGACAGGAAGTCCCTACAGGTTGTGAGGGTCCCAGGTCCCAGGCTGAAATGGACTCAGCGAAGCTTGGTAGCTCCTGATCACCAGGGAAGAAGCCATTCAATTGGGAGGTGGGGGCTGTGCAAGCGTGTTATCACGGCCTTTCCATTTGGGTGGACTCACACCCCTTCTGTACTGTTGACACCCCATCCTACTGTATATGTGAACAGGATGTAGCAAACCTGCAATGGATGAAGGTGTTGTGCCAGGTAGTGGAAGGCACTGGGGACCACAGGATGTTATAAAGGTAGATCAACAGGAGTAGGACATGGCTTGTCACAGAGGAATCTCTGGTCTGAATGGTCTTGAAGAAGAAAGCAAAACCGGGAGATTGGGGGTGGTGGAGACGAAGAAGTTAGGTGAGCCTACGTGGAACCCTGGTACCTGCACTTTCAGGCTTGGATATTGACTTGGTTTGAGCCCATCTGAAGACAAGTATGACCCCAGTTCTCTACCCCACATGCATCTTTACTCTCTGACACTAGGACTGGACTCCCAGTTCATCACGTCCCTGCCCCTGGTCTGGGCTGGCTTGGAGACTTGCTTTGACATTTCCGGCGGAAGCAATGTACCTGCTCTAAGGCTGACCCCGAGAAACCTCATTGCTGTCCTCTCTTGCTTCCTCCTCTCCCCTGCTCTTCCTGCCCACTTTCCTGGACCCTCCTGACTCCTTAGTCTGGCCAGAGTTGTCACATGATCAGCCGCATGACCAGATGAGGCCTCCGACGTGAGAAAGCCAACCAATAGCAAAACAAGATGCCAGACGAACCTCTCACTGGCTGAAGATGCAAGGAAATCCAGCTCACGCCACCTAAACCTGGTCTAGACCAGCAGAACCCAGACTAACCGCTAACTCAAGGGATTAATATCTAAATCCATGGTTATCGACTTACATCTCCAAGGTCCTATATTATGCAATAATATAAAAGACACACAGGACTTGATTGACTCTGGGTTGTTCATGCGATTGCGGGATAAGATACAAGAGCATTCCTCTCTGGTTGGCTGTGGATGTCCCTGCTGGACCCTCTCTTTTTCTCTTTGGGGCTTAATTCATCTATCTGATTTGTTTCCTTGACTCTTAAAAGCGGGGCCACTTCTGTCCTTCTGTCTTCCCACAGTGCCAGCACAGAGCCCTACCTGTGTGCACAGACTGATTTTCCCTGTGACTACGCCTCCCTGCCTTCTGATTGGCCCATCTTAAAGCAGCATGAATGTGGATCTTAGCAAGAAAATGGGAGAGATTTGCACATTTTGAAAACCCCTGATGAGCTCTCTAAAAGTCTATAAAGTTGTCTAGCTGCTTTCTTGGTAGAAAGGGACAGCGGCTGACAGGTGGGAATCTGGTCCCACCCTGGCAAGCTGGAGAAAACTGCTTTGGAGAGGTAGCCTTCCCTGAAAGGAAGGGAATCTGAATTCAACCCCCAGAATCCACACTTAAAATGGGGGGGGCAGTTCATAAACTTTTAATCCTAGTGCCGAGGAGGCAGAGACAGTGTAATCCCTGAGACCCACAGATCAGACATGCTAGCCCACTATTGACTTCCAGACCAACAAGAGTGGGCAGTTCATGAACTTTTAATCCTAGTGCCGAGGAGGCAGAGACAGTGTAATCCCTGAGGCCCACAGATCAGACATGCTAGCCCACTATTGACTTCCAGACCAACAAGAGACCCATCTCAGAATCCTCAGAAAATGTGGCTCAGGTAGCCTGGCATGCGTAGCTGTGAGTAGGAGACTGTGCCTCAAGCAATGTGGAAGGTGAGGTGGTCCTCTGACCTCGAGCATTGCAGCATGTATGCACCTGTACCCATCCATACATGAGCACCTACCTGCCTACGGACCTATCTATCTATCTATCTATCTATCTATCTATCTATCTATCTATCTATCTATCTCTAGCACCTATGTATCTTCTATCTATTAGTATATACACATGCACTAAACAAAAATGAGACGGGGATACTATCTCACAAACTGGAGCTATGCCTGAGGTTGTCCTCTTGGGTCCACAAACACATGTGCACACATACAAAGGGGTTCACACTCCGGTTTCTTGAGACCTCTTCTGAACTACTGAAAAAGGGAGAACCTTGGGGACACAGGGTGCTCTGTGAGGCTTTTATATTAGATATAAAAAGAAATCCTATGGCCTTGCTGCTTTGTCAAAAATCCAGCTGGAAATAACTATGAAGAGTGTTAGGGGTATCCTGAATTGACACAAATACTTTCAAAAGCAGGTTATTACATATTAAATATTTTCTGTGTGTCAGATACTCTACACAACTATGTGCGAACAAAATTTCACTTAACTTTCAGCCTCTGTGGTGAGGGTAATTGTCATTACTATTCTGCAGATCAAAACACTCAGACAGAAGGGCATCCACACCCAGCTTCGCCTAACTCCAAGTTCTGTCTGACTTTTCATGAGCCTGAAGTCTCTGTGGTTAGAAAGCCTTTGGCCTTCTGGCTTTTGGGAAGAAGTTTTCATCAGGAAATCTTCAGCTAGCACCTGGCCCTTGGGCCCTCTCCAGGATTCCTGCAGTCCACAGTGAGGGCCTCTTGGAAAGAGCTCACGGTTAGTGCCAAGGGAATTTCACAGCTGCTCTGCTAAAGGAGCTGGCCAGATGTGTGGAATGGAATGAAAACCCCTGGAATGTCATCCCGGTTGGCTCCATCCATCACTGTGCCACAGCTGGCTCCTCTGAGGGCCTTCCCCAAACCCCAGCCCTGTCGGCCTGCATGTGACGTTTCCAGCCCTGCTGGCAGGCAAGTACAGCCGAGAGCCTCGCTGGCAGGCGGCAGGACAGCTGATGGATGAGCACAGCCTGTGGTGCTGGGCAGAGCCAAGCCAGCTTTGAAGATGCATTTCCGCAGGCCTACCGGCTGTGTGTCACCTGCTTTAGGGAGATGGGCAGAGCTTGTGCTGTTTGATGGCCACCTCCTCTACCACCCACTGGGGACTGGGAACCAGGCACCTTCTGCTCTAGCAAGGCCCTTGCCATGTACTGGCACCGGTAAGACCAACCAAGGAAGCAGCTTGCCTGAGGGCATGAGCAGGGGGTCTCTTCGACAGGCTGTTGTCTGAAGGGAGCACAGAGCCGATAAATTTCATCAAAGAACAGCCCCATGTGCAATGGGACCAAATGAGGATAGGCTTTAAATCTAACGCCCTCACTCCACAGCCAGAGGCCAACAGAGCACCTGGAGACAGGCTCCGGGGCCCAAGGCCAGCCTGCTTCCTTTATTCACCAACCCTCAGAAGTAGCCTGTAGAGTTCTTGTAGAGATCGGTGTCCTGGCATACTACATCCCACACTGTCCACTCCTGTCTAAGTTGTTTTCTAACTTGAGTCTTTGCCCTAAATGCCTCTGGTGTTGGGGAGTTCAAATATTCTGGAATATTCTAATTTTAGGAGATCCTTCCTGTCTGTAGGTTAACTCGGACACTATGCTTTGTCATCTGCCCAGCTAAACCTTATATGGACACACATAGAACGAGTGAATCCACTCTTTCCTTTGTCTACAGGCTTATTACATTTATTCGGCCCGTCCACTGTCTAATTCCTGGGTATCATAAACTCCCTGTAGACATTGTATATAAACTCTAGGAGATAGTGGTAAAACTCCTTGTGGTAAAAATGTTCCTTAATTTTTCCTTTCCATTTTTGTTTGGGGCCATGTGCATCTGGATGGCAGGGGTTGATATAAAGAATCACCCTTAGTTGCTCTTCCACTTTTCTCATTGAGGCAGGGTCTCTTAATCAAACCCAGAGCTCACTGATATGGTTAGACTCACGGGGATCCCCTGTTTCCATCTTCCAAGGGGAGAATTACAGGATGGCTGCCATGACTGTCTAGCATCTGTGTGGGTTCTGGATCCATTTCTCATGCTGAAGCAATTATTTTATCCACTGAGATATCTTTCTGGCCCATAAAGATACTTTTGTTGTTGTTGTTTTTGAGACAGGGTTTCTCTGTGTAACAGCTCTGGCTGTCCTGGAACTTGCTTTGTAGACCAGGCTGGCCTTGATCTTACTGAGATCTTCCTGCCTCTGCCGCCCGAGTACTGAGACTAAAGGCGTGCGCCACCACTGCCAGCAATGCTTCCTCATCCCCACAGCTCACTTCCCTTCAGACACTTGAAACTGGGGTCCCTTGACTCTTCTATGCCCCGCCTCCTTTTCTGTTCACCCCAAAGCATCTACAGCCTTGTCTTTCTGCCCTCTCAGGTCCAAGAACCCTTTGCTGGTGTCTGGGCAATGTGAGCTGGAGGCTGGGGAAATGGTGGCGTTTCCAGCCTTGGCTTGGCCTCTCTCTGAACTCCATGCGTGCCGGGAGTCTGGACTGGAGCTTTCCGGGCGGTTGGGCTGCCTTCCCTCCTGCTTCTTGTCTTGCTTTGCAGAAAGATGCAGAGTCCTTCTGCGGTCCGTGTTCACATGGACACACGTTTCTATTCTATTCTGGAAGGTCTGAGTGACCTGCTCTGGACTGCCACAGTCTATCTGCTTGTCCAGAACTCTTTTCTAGAGAACACTGATGGCTGATCGGGATTTGGCTAGTGGGCACCATCTTTGCTCTAAGTCCTTGATGCAAGCTTGAATCCCATCTGTCATCTCCGTGCACAGGCTGCCTGTTCCGGTCTTCTGAGCATGACCAACCCAGTCTATGACCTGTGGGGATGTCTGCCTTTGGCCCCTTGGGGTCATGAGAGGAGTTTCTATCCCAAACTCAAGCAGGCGTTATGTTGTTCATCCCACTATGGTGTGGGCACTAGGCAGAGGAAACGGAAAATGTGCACGGTAACAGAGTGAGTCTGGGAGAGACAGAGAGAGCCTGTGAGAAATAGTTCTGTCCACTAGGCTGTCCATCTGTGTGTCAGGCAATATATGGCACAACCTCTTGGATGCAATTGTTTTGTGTATTTGTGGTTGCTTTTAATTTACTGTTTTGTGATAGGGTCTCTTATAGTCTAGGCTGGCCTCAAATCTGCTATGTAGCTGAAGCCTGTCCTGAACTCCTAACCCCCCTACCTCCATCTCCTAAGTGCCGGGGTTACAGGAGCAACCCACCATGCCCACTTTTGAATGCAATCTTAATACCATACAATGCTGGATATGATCTCTACCTCAAGTCTACATGACTCTTAGAGCCATGTGTGTTATTGTCAGTCTGAGACTTCCTATGCGTTTTCTGGACTTCTAAATCAGGTAAGTGGTGCCATGGGGGCAACACTGGGGCAGCTCATCCTAGAGCTTCCTGTGAGGGCATCACTGGGGTAGCTCATCCTAGAGCTTCCTGTGAGGGCATCACTGGGGTAGCTCATCCTAAAGTTTCCTGTGAGGGGCATCACTGGGGTAGCTCATGCTAGAGCTTCCTGTGAGGGGCATCACTGGGGTAGCTCATCCTAAAGTTTCCTGTGAGGGGCATCACTGGGGTAGCTCATCCTAAAGTTTCCTGTGAGGGGCATCACTGGGGTAGCTCATCCTAGAGCTTCCTGTGAGGGCATCACTGGGGTAGCTCATCCTAGAGTTTCCTGTGAAGGCATCACTGGGGTAGCTCATCCTAGAGCTTCCTGTGAGGGCATCACTGGGGTAGCTCATGCTAGAGCTTCCTGTGGGGAAACGGAGTGAGTAGGATGGCCCCTTACTCAGTCACATCTGGTCTCTCCTCAATCACTAGTGGACAAGAAACTGGTTTCTTCCCTTCTCTGGGCCTCAGTTTCTTTCTCTGTAGAATCGGGGTATTTGACCACATTAATAGTGTCTCCCTTAGGTGACCGAGACTGGCACCTCAAAGCTGTGTCTAATGTTACACGGCTGCAGTGTTCCTGGATAAATTCTCAAAGTTTCTGTGGTACCCCAATGTCCCTTAAGCATTTCTATGCTCTGGTTCTTGGTTGGTGGAAATCTGGGGTGATGGCATACTCACCTGGGTCTGGGGGCGCAATGAAGGACATCAGTGAGAACTGAAAAACAAAACCACACAGTGAGTGTCCATCGAGCTGCCAGCACCTTCCCGGATGCCCTAAGCCAGAAATCACTATTCCCCAGACACAGGAATGCTGGAGAAGGGGCCCGCTGAGGCTGAGGCAGGCCTGTTTGAAGGTACTTCCTGTCCTACACACACAGCTTGACTCTTCCTGGCACACACACACACACACACACACACACACACACACACACACATGTTGGGATATGGCTTGCCTGTGATCTGCCACAGTACTAACTAGTTGCTCTCAGACTTGAGTGGCATGGTTGCATTATGTTCCCATGACAATCCAATCCACAGAGGAGACCGCTTAGGATTGATTCTCAAGTCTAAGTGATACTTGGGGTGACTGCCCTTGTAGATTGGGAGTGGAGAGTGCTTAAAACGCTCCAGAGGTTTCCCCCTGTTCTTGGGACAAAACACAAACACCTGCCCTGAAGGAGACTTGTGGCATTACTCTTTAATTTTCCAATAAATAGGTTTGAATAATGACAACATGAAATGTGGGGAGGGGAGGGATAAAAAGAAAAAAGGAAAATGATTTCTGATATCAGGGACTGTGTGGAACCCATGATCTGTGTCCCTCTCTACCCAGGGAAATAGCACTTAGGGTTCTCTATTTGAGCTGAATAGGACGGGACATGCCTGGCTGCTGCTGGACCTGAGCAGAGCAGTGGGCAGGCCAGGAGAGACATGCTTTAAGAGCCCATTCCCTAAGAGGGGATGCCATGCTCAGCCTTAATGCAGTGGGGAGGGGCTTGGCCTGCCCCAACTTAAAGTGCCAGACTTTGCAGACTCCCCATGAGAGCCCTTACCTGTTAGAAGGAGGGGATGGACTTGGGGAGGGGGAGGGAGAACTTTGGTTGCAATTTAAAATGAAATTTAAAAAATAAATTTAATTTAAAAAAAAAAAAAAAAGCGCCTTCAGAGAAGCCTGTAAGCCTAGTGCCAGAGTTAAAGGTGTAGCTACACCTGTTTGCTACACCCAGAGCCTGAGGCACAACTGAGGTGCTGCCTGGAGCCAGCAGGTGGCAGACATGTTCTTTCTAGGCATGGCCGCAGCAGGCATCTGAGCTAGGGAGGCTTCCCAGCAGAGCCAGCCTGTTTCCACCCACGGAGAGACTGTGGTGCCAGACAGAGGCGTCCCAAACTGGAGGTGTCCGGATGCTAGCCTCTGCCGTGTCAGAAGCAGGGGGAGTGGATACCATTTGTCTCTTTCCAAAGTCAAGGGGACAATAGAGGAACACCTACTCCTGGGACTCGAGAACCCAAAGATGAAAATTAGCGGAGGAAGTGGGGTGTGTGGGGGATAGCCACGAGTCAAATAAGAAAGTGGAGTGCTCTGTCCCATCATTAAGAGTTGACAGTGAGCCGGGGGAGGTGATAAATGTTTCCCACGCACACCGTCTTGATCGTTCTCCAAAGCACTTGTTTGTTCCAATACTATGGTTATCCATTTACTCCAAGGCAGCAATGTAGACTTGGAATGTGGATGTTTGTTTCTAACAGACTCCATATTCCTAGCAGCCATGTCAGAGTCTGGGAGCCATAGCGGGGCCACACTGGCCTGCTTTGGTCTCTCTTGTGGTGGCAAATACTATATGACTGAGAGTAACTCGGGAAAGAATGGGTCTATTTGTTTCCCATGCCCCCATCACAGTCTATTACTGAGGAACCAAACAGGAGCAGAGGCAGAAACCGTGGAGGAACGCTACTCGCTGGCTTGTTCCCAGGCTCACCTTAAGTCTTTTTTCTTACACCTCCCAGGACCATCTGCCCAAGGGGGGCACCACCCGCATTAAACTGGGCCCTCACACATCAATCAACAACCAAGAAAACGCCACCCAGGCCAGTCTGGGGGAGGCAATTCCTCAGCGGAGGTTCTTCCTCACAGGAGGCTACACAAACTGTCAAGCTGACAGAAAGTGACCAGCAGAGAGGGAGACAGAAGAGCCCCTTGCTCTCAGAGAGGCAGGTTTGGAGTGAGGCGGAAACACAAAAGGTCCTGCTGTTGGGACATTTTATTAAATAAAGTCCTATGCAGAGGGGTCCAGGCCTGGGCAGGGGCAGAGGAGCCACATGGCCACACTGGCAACTGGAGAAAGCACGGAAGGGTGGCCCAGCCAGCCCACTGTGGTGAAGACATCTCCAGAGACATCCTTGTCTGTGACAAGGAGTGCAAATTCCTGCCCATTTCTCCCTCCACCTCTGTCCCTGGTGTCAGAGGGATTTAAACAGCACATGGTCATAACCAACTAGTCTTCCTTAAAAGATTGGCCACGGCTGCCCCTCAAGAGGGGAGAGGGAACTTTTAGCCGTGGGTTAAGAAAGACTACTCCAGCTCTAAATGCCGGAGTTTCTGTTGGTCCACAACCCCACTCTCAACTATTCCAGATGCTGCATCCTTAGATGAGACGTTGCTGGTCCAGGTTGTTGTTCTGCCTTTACTCTTTGCTAAGGGCTATGGCGGTTTCTCCAGAGTTGCATCACCTCATGTTCCTCCCACCAATGAGGTGTGAGGTTCCAGTTTCTCATGTCCGCAACACACTTGTGTTCATTATGTTTATAGCACTGGGTCAGATACGTAAGAAGCAGTTTAAAGGAGGGGTGTTGTTCTTGCTCACAATTTCAGGGACACAGTCCATCTGGGTAGCTGGAACCATGTTGGCTCTGTAGCGGCAGGAGCTTGCCACATGGTCTGCTGGTATCCCAGCAGGAGGTAAGAGTGCAGATACAGGCCAGAAGTAGGGCTGGTGTATAACCTTCCCTGCCTGCTTCTGGTGGCCCATATCAATCAGCTAGGGTTCATGTCTCAAAGATTCTGCTTGTAACCTCAGAAAACAGTGACCATCCGAGAACCAAGTATTCAAATGTGAGCCCGTGGGGCTGGGATGCACTTCACAGCCGAACCACACTTGTTTTTCCATTTGGAGAAATTATAGCCACTGTGATTGGTATGGGACATTGTCACTTTGTTCTCTACTCAGTGAGCTCAGTGCTGGCTCAGTTGTTAGGCTCAGCGTGGCTGGGCCTTGATGCTCAGGTGAGGAGGGAAGGTACCGGCAAGCAGTCTCTGCAGATGGATTCCTGGCAGAAGCCTGCTGTAGAAAGAAGCTAGCCTAGGACACCAGGGAAGTGGTTTATGCAAGGGTTGGGAAGACTGTGTGGTGGGGCGCATGAGCTCAGGTCGCCAGTTCTGACAGAGCCCCTGTCCCTAGCTTACAAGGACTCCAAGTGCTTTCCCTGCTACAGGGCCCCACTTGGGCTCTACCTAGTTAGCTGAGAAATGTCTCCATGTGTCAACAGTGGGCAGAGATGGGAGGGCTGTGGGGAGGGTGACAGGAGGGAAAAGAGAACGTCTCTAGACCCAGAGCACTTACAGTTTAAAGTCTTGTTTTCACTGCAGAGCATAGGGATCCTGGGGACAGCAAGGTCTCATGGGTGCAGGTGGGGCCAGAAAGTGCATTTTCAACCAGGGCCTGGTGACTCTGCCTTTGCCCTTATTTTTATTTGTGTGTTTGTGTGTGTGTGTGTGTGTGTGTGTGTGTGTGTAGACCAGAAGTTGATGTCAGATGTATCCTGAATCTGACCTGAATTACAGCCAGTTCTCTTAGGCATGAAGTGCCTGACCCAGGAAACTGAGGGTTCATCTTTTTCCTGTGCCACTGTTGGTTTGGTTAGCTTCTTGTTTCAGTTTCCTCTGTTATAAAGAATCCAGGGTTGGGGGAATGGTTTAGTCAGCAAAGTGTTTGTCGTGGGTAAAGCATAAAGACATGGGTTCAGTTCCTAAGAACCCACACGGGAGGCTAGGCCCTGGGGCAGCATGTGCCTGTAATCCCTCTAATGAGGGTGGAGACACGGGGATCCCTGGAGCTTTCAGTCCAGCCAGCATGGCTGGGTAGGTGAGCCCAAGATTGAGAGAGAAACTCTGTCTCAAAATTAAGGTGGAAGCTGGGTGTGGTGGAACACAACTTTAATTCTGGCACTCGGGAAGCAGAGGCAGGTAGATCGCTCCGATTTCTAGGCTAGCCTGGGCTATGTAGTAAGATACTCTCAAAAAAGAAAAGAAAGATGGAGATGACAGAAGGAGATATCTGACGCCAACTTCTGACCTCCAATACATGTACACTCATGTACACTCATGCACACACACACACACACACACACACA